GTGTGTGTGTGTGTGTGTGTGTGTGTGTGTGTGTGTGTGTGTGTGCCAAGCGGTAGGAGTACGACATCTTTGTTTGAAAGTGGTTGTTTTGTTAGGGATTGATTTTGTTATATGTGTAGGATAAAAGTGCTTTTCTGGGACTAAAATATACACTCCCTCTCTTTCTCTTTATCTTACATGTAAACAGACAAATGCAGCGTACACGCTGAGTAGGCTACTTGTACTGCGTGTAGCTGCTTATCTCTTGCGGAGTTTGTTGCAAACAGTGCACTTTGAGGAAAACCCAACCCAAAACTCTGTGAATGCATAAATATGTTGAGCACAGTTGTACCTTTTAGTCTCTGTGGCAGCACATTATGTTGCAAATCTATTTTTGTACCTACTTCTCTAAGCGCTGCCTTCACTGATTTTTATTAAGTATACTATTACCTTTTGTTTTTTCTTTTTCTTTTTTTTACCATCACTGTATATCGACTGATAGGTAGGTGCGCTGCGGTTCATTGTTTCCATTACTGCAAGACCAAGAGTCTTCAGTTTTGCTGATACACTGCAGGGGATAATAGACTGTAGGGCCCTTTAGAAGAACCAATAGAATCAGCTATGAGCTGAACTTTAACAGCGGGTTTATAAGGTTGGTTTTACAAGAATAAAGACTTTGATGAAGAAAACTAACTGGTGGGTTTTGCCAGTGTACATCTGGTTAACCTCAGCCCCTCTGTTAAAGGGCAATGCACAGCCACTTCCAGGAGCTTTTTTTCTTATATGAACCACCCAGGTATGTTTGCTCTGCAGAGGATGTGACAGTTCATAATGGGTCCTGCTCAGAGTATTGTAGTGTGTTGTTGCTATAGCTGAAAATGTAATAGACTGATATGTTTTTACAGCTTAACCCAAGTGTGATGTGAATGTGTGTAGCAAATCTGATGGTTCAAACCATACGTACCATTAGGATTTATTCTCTGTACTAAAGTCTGTACTAAATTTCAAGGCTTTGGCTGGGAATGGAGTTTTGAGGGGTAACCATAGGTAGTGCACATACTTTAAAATCAATTACAGCAATATATGGAAGAAATCTGTGCTTTTCCTACCATCTGATAAAATATATGACCAATACACATGAGCTAATGAAGACCCAATTAACAAAACTGTTTCAGGTAAAAAGCCCCAAAATGGATTTATATAGGAAATCCCTGGACTGGCAGCAAAGCTATCAGTTAAAGGTCCTTCTCTTCTAACTCTGTATTTCAGAGATACTGCAAAAAGTTGCAGTATCCAAGCAAGTCTTTCTCACGACCTGCTTGTTATTTTCCCCTCTCTGTTTTTCCACTACTGTGTCTCTATACCGAGCATCACATCCACACTGAAACACAAACAGACACACTGTTCAGTTTCCAGCGCTTGCCCTCCTTTCCTGAGTCCAACTCGTCTGTTTCCTGCTCTCTCCACTCTGGCATTTTGTCTTCTCTCTGCTCTTTCCATTACACGTTGACACACTGCCTGTCTTGTCTCTGTCTTCAGCGCAGTGCATTTGTGTTTGTGTGCAAATAACCCAGTGCTGTA